ATGGGACCTACGAGTGTCAGGTAAGTGGTCACACCCACTGATAATTTTACGAAAGAGATATTATTAGCAGAACTCATTTTCAATTAACTCTCTTTCTCTCTCTCTCTCTCTCTCTCTCTCTCTCTCTCTCTCTCTCTCTCTAATTTCGATCCATTGGAACTTCTTAACAATGATATCAAATAACATAAAAGTAACGAGAAAGAAAGATGTACCCAATTAACTAAGAATTTTATTTCCTATCTCCTACTAACAAAGCTCGTTTTATTTTGTATGGCAAAAAATAATAGAGATTCTAAAAAAAGATATTAATATTCTAAAAGATAAGATAAGACAAACACATATCTTTTTTATCTCTTTAATTAAAGGATAGTAAATAATAGAATATTTCAACGAATTAAAACGCGATGTTTCAGAAAGTAACAACTACAAAATGAAAAAAAAAAACGAACATATGTATATGTCTTTTCGAAAAGAAAAAAAGAAAAAAAGAGAGAGAGAGAGAGAGTATAAGGAAACAAGAAAATGAAAAAGTAAAATAAAAGATAGTACTCGCATCTCTAGGTAGATTTTTACTTCTGTTAGATGTGTTTTCAGGCTGTGTAAAGTAACGCGCATATCAAGGAAAAGTATCACGAGATGCTGTTTCGAGAGCATCCGAAAGATAGAAAGAGAGAGAAAGAGAGAGAGAGAGAGAGAGAGAGAGAAAAATACGTAAGAAAGGCCGGTGACACTCAACGGATTAAAGTGAAACGTAAATCAAATTGTACAGAAAGCTGGAATGCAAAGGCCGCGAACGTCTAAGCTCAGTACTCGAGTAGAACTTTCGAAAAGATCGTACTTTCCTTTTCCTTGTAAATGTGCATATTCTATATAGACATATGACATGCATTTTTCCGTGCAAGGATAATAGCGTGGAGCTTGAAGAAAAAGGATATTACGAAAAGAAAATCGAGGCTTTCGCTCTTACTTTGCTCCCCATCTTTCTCTCTCACTCTCTCTCTCTCTCTCTCTCTCTCTCTCTCTCTCTCTCTCTCTTTATATCTATTTTTCTATCTATTTCTATCGTTACATTTTCGTCCCAATAAAATCTAAAAAAGACACGATAATATTTTGTTTATATTCGCGAAACAAGCAAGTTCATTTGTAAATATTCGCCTTTTTTTATATTTCAGATTTCATTTTGTATCAGTGATCTGATATAATTTTTCTTTTTTCAATGGGCTTGAAAAAAAAGATTTTTGCTATAAGTATTTTTTATATATCGCGAATTTCTGTTATCACATAACTCTTTTGTATATTATGTATATACTTATATATTTACAAAAGTTGATTAAAACTTTAACCAAAGTTACAGGATAGTTAAAGTTATTTCATTTTTGTTATACACGCATCTAATTATTAATTTATATATATCTATAAATAGGATATCTCTCGGAACATTATTTTAAATTGTATGTTAATTTTTTTTTTTTTTACATCAAGTTTCTTAGAGATCACGTAAAAGATTCGCAATCGAGATGAAAGTTAACGTATATCTGTGTAAGCATTCTCGACAATACGATGCAACTCGTGCGCCAAAAATAAAATTATCTATTATTTGGCACGATTTGAGAATATCGTTCTCTCGATGTATCGCGACCGATAAAACGTTCAAATTTGCGCTGCTATCGCTCGATAAAAAAAAAGGAAAAAAAGAAAAAAAAAGGCAGAGGAAACATGAAAATGAGATAAAGAAAGGAAGATTAAATCTCTTTACCTCTTTTTCCTATGTATTTTTTTTTTTTTTTTTACTATCTTCATTGCAACGATAGACGGGGGTTTGGGGGAGAAAAAATAAACCAACAATTATTTAACTAGAAAATAATGAAAATTGTTGAATAGTTGTCAAAGGAAAAACGTTGACGCGAAGAACCACAGGAATTCAAACAAATCGATGGAATTGAAATTTCCTCGCTTATATCAACGTTACGTAAATATACCTAAACGTTTCGTGAACCAACGGTTAAACAATGAAATGTTAAAGCAAAACGCTCGAAAAACGTCAAAAGTATAGGCTAGTAACATCGGGTGTACTCCAGTGCGAGAGACCGACCCGTAACTGTACCGTTTAATTGTTATGCATGTACATCTGTCTACGTGACGCATAGCTGCATTTACAAAGTGCAATTCGCGACAGTTCATTATGTCGGTGGAGAGTCTCAGCGGTCCGCAGGATAACCGAGAGGTCGTCGTCCGTTAGAGGCCACGGGAAACAAGAGAAAAATCGATAGAGCCAAAATCATTTCACGAGGATTAGTTGACTTTTCATAAATTTTATCCTTTACGAACACATTCTATATCCCCGTGTTAAACCTCAATCGCTAATATCGTATTTCCAAGTAAACCCGATTCGCTTTAATAGTATTATCTAATTCTACTGAATTTAATCTAACAATAAACGAACTATTTCTAATACACACACATACATATACTTAAGAGATCATTTTTGATCAATTATTTCTTATAATAATCTCTAATTCATTTATTACCTTTTTTAATATCTAGTATTTTCATTTATCTTTTCAACAAAGAAACGAATTTGTAACATAAATATTAATTGTATGAAGATAACAACGATTCCCTCGTTGTAGAAATGAACTTTTGATAAAAATAAAGATGAAAAAATATATTATAGTAAAGGGAAAAAATATCAATATTTGAAATAAAATTGTATGCATAAACTTGATATCAAATAAATACAATACTTTCAGAACAAATTTGATTAACATCGACAAAGTCTATTCAGCATCCTTCGATTCCGGTTTAATCAAACGATTTATTCGAACGCTTTTGGATGACGTTGAAAAAAAAAAAAGAAAAACTCGATAATTTTAATTGCTCTTTAGCATTACGAGAAGACAAGAAGAACATATATCCGTAGTAATTAAGAACAGTGAATATATTATCGTTCTGAACGTTTTTCTTGGTGCATGAAACCGAACGTATGTACTAACGATTAAACCTAATTGAAAATGGAATAATGGAAACCTTTAGAGTAATCGGGAACTCATCGCCTCGGGTTACGTTCGTGACACAACGAAGGGAGAATGCCTCGTCAAAGGCTAGAAAGAATTTTAAAAGAAGGAACAAAAAAGTCCCTCTTCTATGCAAAAAATAAAGAGAAAGAATAAAAGATAGATAGATAGAGAAAAAGAGAGAGAGAGAGAGAGAGAGAGATTTTTAAATCGACGAGCGTGTTCTCGTTTCAATCGATATTCTATTTTCAAACTCTCGATTCTAACAGAAGAACATTTTGCATTAAAGTTTACTATGTAAACTTTACGCGTCGAATGGATAACGCGACGACTAAAGATATGAATAATGATTTCTTCGTTAGAGGTGTTATGTTACACGACCAATAAGAACACAATCCTTTTCTCAAATGTAGATTCGTATCCATATATATTTTACATAAATGGTAATTACAATTTTCATCGATTACTTTCTATAATAAATCATTTGGAAAATTAGTAAAAATTATTTCTATTTTCTTATGCGAATATTTTTGCACAATTAAATTTGATCGAAGAAGTAATAAAAATAGGGAAAGGAAACAAGAATAAAAATTCAAATCGCCGACGGGGAATACAAGCGGGACGATATTGCAATGCAGACAACAGACGAGAATATTCGCCAGCAAAATTAATGCCTTCGTTAACGAGGAAATAATCAAAGCGGAACTCATCGTACGCGAACGTACATACTTTTTTTCACAAGCAATTTTTACAAACGCACATTCACTACTACTACCGATTGGTTTTACGCACAAAACATCTTTCTTTTTTATTTTATATTTTGGTTTTGTTTCCCCTTCTCCTACTACCACCCCGTCCTCGCCTCCCCCCCCCTTCGACTCCGAAACAACGTTTGTTTTAACGTACATACAAATGTTGCCGCGAGACCAAAAAATTAATCGCATGAAATTTTCTCGCAAACGATATTTTGATTTTACGCGCGCAAAAAAAAAAAAAAATGATAATCGCGTTCGTTTTGAAATTGAGTAATCCTTTTGGTTGTTTTTTTTTTTTTTAACTGAACAATCGATTGCAATATTCACGAAAATTTTAATAATTACAATCAACAACATTTCGCATTGTATGAAATATGTATTGCTTCTTTTTTTTTTTTTTTTTTTTTTTTTTTTTTGTTGGAAATAATTCTATTAAACGATCATTCGCTAATTTGCTGCCACTATTTCGAAAAAAGCGTCCGATCATTTTTATTATTTACGAGAAGATTTTACACGATCGTACGCACAGAATAGCACATACACCATTACCTATTTTATTTTCTTCGACGCCATGAAAACGTTTTCGAGAATGTTCAACTTCTCGTTGAAATAAAAAGCGACTCGATGAGACAAAGCAAAGCGGCTATCGTAAATTCTATAAAGAGGCGCTTTAGCTTAGCGTTGCAAAACTGCATTATACGATTTTGTACTTCCCCGCACACATACAATCGTACATATAGATACATACATATCCAAAGCAATCTCTCGAGAAATATAATAAAATTTAGCCAATGTAAAAGAACAAAAAAAAATGCATTCTCTTTAATCGCGTGACGTTGTCTCTTCTTATGATCATAAAAATGAAACAAACGTACACGTTACATTGTTTGTAAAATAAAGAGTTGTTAAAAGAAGAGAAGGAGGAGATGGAAGAAAATGAGACAAAAAAAAAACAAATAAAAAGCCGACTATTATATTAGGGGTGAGACGGAAAAAAGGATGCAAAGGGATGAAAAAAAAAAGAAACCCAACACAAGTTTTTCTTTTTAAAAGAAATAAGATTCTCTTAAGATGCGTCTTTGTGTCGATACTGCGAAAGTAAAGATGCGCGCTTGGTACTTTTTTAACAACTTTCTATGAAGAAAAGCAAGAACTTTTTTCTTTTTTTTTCTTTTTTTTTTTCATGAGTACAGAAAATTATGTGGCAGAACGATGTTTGTTACGTGCAGCAACAAAAAAGAAAAAAAATGA